ACCTCTTACTCCATTTTGTTATACTGAATCTGTATTCTTGAGGCTTTTACTGCTTAAAAGCTACAGTCTAGTTGTATCTTATAATTTGTTCTTATCAAGATAAGCTGTGTATGGCTGCATTCATGTAAGGATGATTTCAGGCCGCCTGAAAGGCCAAACACTATCCCATTTTTATGTTACCAAAGATGCATGTTTTTACAACATTTGTACGGAGGCACTGACATTTGTTAGGCACTACATCAGCAGTCTTTTTGTGATGCTCCTACTGCTACCCAATGCAAGAGGGACACACAAAAGAATCACCACTCCTCCACGGCTCAGGAGAGGAATGAGCCGGGTGGTTGCCGCTGGGAGCACGTCCTCGCTCCAATATGACCTTTTCTTCTGTTTGTATGGGTTCATTTCCAATCTTACTGGTAACCCATTCTGTCTAAGAAATAGAGGAGTGCAATCACCAGTGGAAGGATTACATTGTACTCGGTGGTGGTGGTGGTGGTGTGAGCAGCGGAAGGTCTGCAGGCTCTACATCTACCCCGTCTCTTAGCATCCTAGCAACAAAGTCCAAATCCCATTCGCACTGCCACGGTCTCAAAACCACAAGGTATATGTGGTGCCCAGGTGACCACACGGATGGCGCCGTGCAAAACTCTAATAGTAAATACACTAATAGTAATTAATCGGCACTGTGTGTGCCGGTGAATTACTTTTTACTCTTATCATCCTAGGACGCTTTGGCCATTGATGTCACTGGTTGCCAGAAACTTTGGCAGGACACCGACCAGAGCGTCCAAGGTTGTTAATAGCTGGGCGTGGACATGTATGGCCCTTACACATCTCCCTGCCTAGCTCTTTGGTACCTAGGCTGCTCTGGCCAGAAAGGGGGCAGCAGGCACACTGCAAACATTGTGCAGCAGAGCTGCCATGCTGTTGTGCTTGCCGCCCCCTCCACGTGGCCCAAAGTGATGCTGCCTGAGGCAATAGCGTCAAGTAGCCTCATAATAGAGACGGCCCCGATTGTACTCTATGGATTCTTAGATCTCAGGGTTACCAAGAGGTCAAAATCGCATCTGCAGTATAGGGGGGCCTCCCTCATTAGAAAAAACCTCAGCAATATTCTTTTTTTCTTCTGGTGGCATACAGACAAGAACAGACAAAAACTCCTCCTGATGAACCCAAAGGGCTATAAAATAATTAAAAATACTGTTTTTTAATTAGACTCTATAAAACCAACAATTTGTATAAAAGACAACCTTTCACCCAAAAAGAGGTTATCAATGGCTATGAGCCCTTTTTCAGCTGAAACCTGTTTGGAGGAACTTTGTTGTTTGTGATGCCAGACACCATACTCATAATTTGGTGTAAGCGGTATTACAATTGATTGGTTTTATAGTTTTTAAATGACAAATGGCATTTGGTAAATGGCTTCGTTTTTTTAAAGTAATTTCCCTGTGGGTATATTTAGTGAAGTTATTGTCTGGACACCACCAGCATAGAAAAATATATCGCCAGGGTAATTTATAACGAGGACGGTTCTCCTATACTGCCGACGTGCTTTTGACCTCCTGGCTACTCTGAGCTCTAAGAATCTGGTGAGAACAATACAATCTCTCTAGTGTTGGATGCACTCCTCATTTTGGCGCAATGGGTTACCACTACCAGTAAGTTCGGAAAAACACAGCCGCTAAGGAAATGTATATGTTAGGCACCACCAGATGTCAATCTTGGATAAGAAATAACTCAACATTGAATTCAATCAACAATTATATGGCTGAATGACATTATTTAGCTGAACATAGAAAGATAACATTCTTGATATGCACAACGTTGTTGGGTGCTTAGTGGGTTGTCTAAGTACTAATCCATTCCATATGGGAAGATTTTTAGATAAGAGATTTGCATTGTATTTTATTTTTTATTGTGGCAGCTCAGTACATATGTTTGTTCTACAGTATATATGCTCTACACGTGTGTATTATTAATACATCTTTTTGTTATACATACATAAAGAAGTACATTCACTCATACTGCTTAAAGCAGAACTAAGGAGTGTTTGTATGTATGTATGTAAGTAAATATATATATTATACACTCTTTAGTTCTATATACAGTATAATATAGAATATATATATATGTATATATATTTTTTTAATATATTTAAATATATAATTTAGCTAAATATATAATTTAGCTATTTCTATATCTTTTCTAAATCTGTTCATCTGTTCATCAGTGTTAGTGATAGAGGTGCTGAGGACTATTCTACAATAGCACAGAACAAACCTGCAGTTTTGCAGGATAAATAAGCTATGGCATTTTTTTATTTTTTTTTGTCCTCTTTTCTGGTTCCTTTCAAGGGCCCCTATGCTATTACATGACACAGTAGTGCATGAATGCACACAGGCAGTCGTTGTAAAGAGGCTACAGGGGATATGCAGCACATGCAAACAGAAACCAGAAATAGAGAAAACAGTGCAAGAAATGTACAAATATAAATTGATAAAACAAAGTTTGAAATTAAAAAAAAAAGAGAGACATGGGGGAATAAGTAAAGTTTGCTTCTTTCCCCCCAACCCCACCTTGGCTGTTTAAAAAAAAAAGTTGAGTTTGCCAGAGACTTAAAAGAAGCTTTGCAAAGGCAAGGACTTCAGTTTGGAGTGCAAAGAATGACATAGACATAAACAACGTCCATATGGTGGAGTCAATTGAGGGAGCCGACCAAGTCTGCTCATTTTTTCCAAACCTGTAACTTATGAGAGGCCGACATATGTTACCATGTACGCACCTGTTGTGCCAAGCCTTTAAGGGGCCCTTTAAGGCGGTTTACCCAGATGGACCTTTGCAGAACTTGTGCAGTTACAGAATCATCATCATTCTCTTTCACCGAGAAAATCTGTTGCAACTCTAGAGCTACAGGAACAAAAACAACAACAATCAATGGCGACTTCTTTGTGACAGCAGTGACAATTATGTTTTTTAAAAAAAACAAAACACTCAATCAGTTCAGCCATCGTACCTGTATACCTGTATACCCTCTACGGACCAGAGCAATTTTTGTAGATCCTCCAATCATCTCTGAATTGGTGCTGACACTGTCCTTCCTTCTGGAGGGGGGCTACTTGTGTTCCCCATGGTCCCTGTGTGTGTTGTGAATAGTCACCGCTCCAAGCTCACTCTCGTGATGGACTACAATCTCACATTTAATTTACTAATGTGTATTGAGCTTGTAGTCCATCCCGGGAGCGAGCTTGGTGCGGTGATTACTTTACAACACACACAGGGACCATGGGGAACAAAAGTAGTCACCCTCCAGAAGGAAGGACAGTGTCAGCACCAATTCAGAGATGATTGGAGGATCTACAGCCGAGTCATACACTAATAAGATACATTGGTGTTCATAGTTGAGGTACCTGAATGTATTTTTAAGATTTAATTCCTGAGTTTAGTGTCACTTTAATTCACAAAGGACGAATAGGCATACAGTTTTTCTGTACAAATAGCTATGCAAATGTTTCATAGATAGACCCGTAGTTGTTCTAAAACTAACAAAAGTTTGTCTAGAAAATGTTGTTATTTTGTTATTTTTTTGTCTTTGTTTACTGTTGAAACTTTCATTTTTGCAACAATATTGACAAATAAAATCCCTCTTTGTCCCCCCAAAAAACAATATATAAATGTCACTTAGGTGTAAGTTAAGACAACGTTATTGCTAAAACAATAGCTGCAATGTAAAAATTACTCTGGTCCATAAGATCTTTGCAAGTGTAGAACCTGAAGTAGTTAATGATAGGTCCTCTTTAACCAAAGTGCTTCTTATTACAGTAAACTCTCAGTTATCCGGTATTCAACGAACCAGGAAAAAAAAATGCCCTGTGTAGTCACTGTTCCGCGGCATGTATTATCCTGGAAATGATTGTGGGTCTATTTGTCTTAATTTGCTTTTGATTACTGCATTTCAATATTAATATGAAGTCAATACAGAGTTTATGTTATGGTATAGTATAGGGGTATAGCATGGGGTATAGTATGGGGTATAGTTTAGGGTATATCATGGGGTATAGCATGGGGTATAGTATGGTTTGTAGAATGTGGTGTAGTATAGTATGGGGTATAGTATAGGGTATAGTAAGGGGTATAGTATGGGTTATAGTATGGGGTGTAGTATGGGGTATAGTATGGGGTGTAGTATGGGGTGTAGTATGGGGTATAGTATGGGGTGTAGTGTGGGGTATAGTGTGGAGTATAGTATGAGGTATAGGATGGGGTATAGTATGGGGTATAGTAAGGGGTATAGTATGGGTTATAGTATGGGGTGTAGTATGGGGTATAGTATGGGGTATAGTATGGGGTATAGTATGGGGTATAGTATGGGTTATAGTATGGGGTATAGTATGGGGTATAGTATGGGGTATAGTATGGGGTATAGTATGCGGTGTAGTATGGGGTGTAGTATGGGGGTATGGCATTAGTTAGACCTATTTTTAATAGTAATTCTCAAGCAACCAGAAACTACATTTATCTGGAATCTGCCAATCCCTGTGGATGCCAGATAATGGGGAGTTTACTGTACTTCACAAATGTTGCCAAGTTATGCCCAAAACTACAAACTTGGAAACCTTTTTGCTGAAGTAAGCTGTAATACTTTGTGATGGGCTGCAAGTGTCTTATTGGGCAGCCACTATTTTGTTGAACTTGTATGGCAGTTTAAACTCCCTGAGGTTTAATAGTATGATTTATTTAGAAATGTGAAGCCATCTCCTCTGCCATTACTGTACTGTGCCCTGGGCAAACATAACCAGCAAGGGCAAATAATGTAATTCCAATGAGTCATACTTTAAAGGAATCACCAGGGGGATTCAATTCAGGGGAAGTAGACAATGTCAGCCCAATATTGTCTGTAATGATGCTACTTGTGTTGACGCCAATAGCAAGCAATATTATCATTGACCTTCCTTGTTTGCTTACACGAGTGCCTGTCAATTACCTCTTTGTCTCCTCTCTAGAATCTGATGTGGCGGACTTTGATGGCAGAAGCTCGCTCCTCTACAGGTTCAATCAGAAACTGATGACCACATATAAAGATGTCATCTCCCTGAAGTTCAAGAGCATGCAGAGTGATGGAGTATTATTTCACGGAGAAGGACAACGCGGGGATTATATAACGCTGGAGCTACAGAAAGGGAGATTGTCTCTCTCCATTAACCTGGGTATGCACTTTTTCCCAATTAATTTGTTTGCTAAAATTACTATTCCAGTTTTTTTTATGATCATCATCAGTACAGATAATTTAAAAGGAGACATTTAGACATCAAAAAAGGGAAAAAAGAGAAAATCTAATATTGGGCTATGTAGAAATCATTAGATATAGCCAGCTCAGGTTTTGTGCAAATTTCGACCTTCCTTTTGAAAATTGGACCTATCATCCCTACCGTTCAGTATAAATCTTGGGGTGTAGGATTAGGTGAGGAAGGATTGGGAGGCCGGATAAGACGATGTAGGATTAGCAGGTAGGATTAGGTGAGGAAGGATTGGGAGATAGGATTAGGTGAGATAGGATTGGGAGGTAGGATTAGGTGAGGTAGGATTGGAAGGTAGGATAAGGCGATGTAGGATTGGGAGGTAGGATTAGGTGAAATAGGATTGGGAGGTAAGATTAGGTGAGGAAGAATTGGGAGATAGGATTAGGTGAGGTAGGATTGGGAGGTAGGGTAAGGTGAGGTAGGATTAGGCGAGGTAGGATTAGGAGGTAGGATATGATGAGGTAGGATATGATGAGGTAGGATTAGGAGGTATGTTTAGGCGAGGTAGGATATGGTGAGGTAAGATTAGGAGGTAGGATATGGTGAGGTAGGACATGGTGATGTAGGATTGGGAGGTAGGATTAGGTGACGTAGGATTGAGAGGTATGATAAGGCAAGGTAGGATATAGTGAGGTAGGATATGGTGAGGTAGGACAAGGTGAGGTAGGATTGGGAGCTAGGATTAGGTGACGTAGGATTGAGAGGTATGATAAGGCAAGGTAGGATTAGGAGGTAGGATTAGATGACGTAGGATTGAGAGGTATGATAAGGCAAGATAGGATTAGGAGGTAGGATATGGTGAGGTAGGATTGCGAGGTAGAAATAGGCGAGGTAGGATTTGGAGATCACGGATTCCCTTCAGCACATGCGAAGAAACAAGAAACAGAGTGCCGCCTCCATGTGTAGAATAATTTATTAATGGATACAAAAACATTTAAAATATACTCACAAGTGTATGTAGAAGATCGCTTTCTGACACATAATTAAATTGTCAGATTTTCAAGAAGGAATTGACACTTGTGGCAAACACGGCAATCATCAGTGTCTCTCCTGACTTCTCTCACCACTATATGCCTTGGTTGGTTAAGGTCATAGTTCTCTTTTAACCGCTGCCTGTGCTCAGAATGAGATTTAGGAATGCTATGCCTGTTAGGCATTGGGGAGGAGGTAAGGGAGGACAAATAGGGGATTGGAGTTAAGTGGGAGATAAGATCAAGAAAATGGGAGTCTTGAAGAAACAGGGCAAGGAAGGGATATTAGGCAGGTAAAAGGAAAGGGTGGCCAAGGTGGGTGAAAGGTAGAAATTGCTGAGCAGTGGGGGGGCCCTACTGCATCTTGACCATCACCTCGCCAATCACCAACTAGAAAGCTCTGACATGTGTAAGCAAAGCCCTGCAGCTCTTTCAAGAAGGCCGTCTCCTCAAGAAGGCACAGTATGTCATGGTATGTTAATAAAAGGGAACAAATAGGCTTCAAAGAGACCTGGTGACTTGTCCTCTGTCCTCTGCTTGCCTTTTTTGGCCACACCTTTCACAGTATGGGTCCCCTTTAAAATTGCTGATATGTATGTGTCCCAAGCCTCTGCCTCTTTTTTCCACATTCCATCTGAAAATGGAGAACCTTTACAAAGGTTTACTTTACCTCCTTCTCTGCTCTCCATTTCGAAATAATGTGAAACTTGAAATGAGTCATTTTTTTATTTTTATCATGGAGGATCTTTAGATAGTTTGGTGTACTAAAAAGCAAATCATCACGTCTTTAATGTTTTCTACCTTGCTTTAAATGATGGAAATGAAAGGAAGCTTACCTCCATAGCATGACAGCGGTACCTTTAACTTTCTGTTCCCCTTCTGTCTCGCAGTTTGGTAAACCTATGTGTGGGGGAAAACTGCAGCAACGACAACTTAAAAGTCATTTTCAACTTATGCAGCACATTACCGCTGCCGTCCCATTTTCCAATATCAGCCACACATTGTTATTTCTTTTCTGTTTTTTCCTATCTTGTTTTCTTCTTTTATTAAAGTATACATCAGCTGAGCTTTATGAATCAGAGCTAGAATCTATCAGCAAACAAAACAAAAAGGGAAAATGCATCCACAGCTGCCACAAACAACTACGTTTTCTCTTTCTTGTGATTAAATTGATTCTCAAGGATAGAAAAGCGAGAAGGGATCTGACCAATTCAAAAACTGAAGAGGGGCACAATTCTAGAGTAATGTTGTCAGACTGATTCATCTAATTTTGTCATCTAATTTTTAAACTTTAAAGAGGACCTGTGGGGCGTGGCTTGGCGACTCATGTGAGCGGACGCGGCTGAGAGAGCTCCGGCACGAGATCCTGATAATATCCTCTACATCTTCACTAATACAGCCTGATAGACACCTACGTACCTTCCTTGTATACACCGGACCCCTCGGGACTCACGGGTACCGCTCGGTCATTCTCCGATTTTTCGGGATACCCGTGTTGGCTTCCCAAGAAGATCTTTAGAGGATTAAATTCGCTCTTTAGGGAACTCATTTGGAAGAATAGACCCCAAAGAGGACCTGTACTGTGGAAGCTGAGGGCAAAAGACTAGTCACCAGTATTGCCTGTGGTCTCCCTGTTGCTGATGTTTCCCCATTACTAACTCACCATGCCTTGTTTTGCACTGTGTCTCTGTGTGGAGGTGTCCTTCTTGGTGGAGGCAGGGGTTTGATTTCTCATGTCAGATTTGTCCCCTGATAACAGGTTGGTTAATAATAATAATAAAACAACAGGAGAGGTGTAGGAAGTATAAATAAAACAAAAGCAGGGAGATCCTAGCACAGCATCTCATCAGGTACAGCTTCCTCTCCAGTAAGGAGAACAGTGAGCTCCAAGTCTCCTGAAACGAGAGCTCGGGGGCAGCAGTTACTTAGATGATCTGACACTGCAAATATACAGCTATGAGGCTCTAGGCCAACCTTTTTCAACCAGGGAGCAGCAGTACTCTGGGATGCCTTCTGGCTGTGTTGCGGGTGCCTTCAAATTCTCAAATTGCCATACATTCCAGTGATGCAGATGAGCTGGCCACCGGTATGACACTAATTCAGGGAGGGCAGCATCCAAAACCTCCCCAAGCATTGTAATAAGAGACAGAAGTCCAGCTCCATCTAGACCAGTGGTTCTCAACCTGTGTAACATCAGGACCCACATTTGTCCTTGATCATTAAGTCGCGACCCAAGTCGAACTTCTGTGGAACGCACGGCAGTGTGGGCTGCTGTGCTGTGATGGAGCTCAATCCATATGTGCATTGCTTGTACAGCTCCCTTGCGTGCCCTGTAGAGGTGCTGGGAGCCAGAATGTGACATCACTCCGGTCCAGGCACCTCTACAGGACATTCAAGGGAGCTATAAGCATTACACGCATGGATGGAGCTCACTCGCGTCCATACCCTTAGCCCACCCCACCTCAAGTCAACACTCGGAGCCGGGCAGCATATTTTGAATGGCTGCTCAGTGTAAGAATGGACAGTGCTGGGCTAGGTGGGGGCAGAGGAACCTCTCACGTAGAAAAGTGGAAGGCATGCGACGACCCACAGAACATGGGGTCGCGACCCACTTTTGGGTCCCGACCCACCAGTTGAGAACCAAGGATCTAGACTATCTCCAGGTCCTCACACTCTGTTGTGACGATTATAAAGGTACAACTCTGAGATTAAGGGGGGCTTCTGATGTGAAGGGGGGACTCTGATGAGAAAGGTACAATGCAGCACAAAGTCACTCAGACTCCAATAAGTCAATGTTCTTTATTGACAAAAGATATGTCACACTGTATAGCGACGTTTCCAAACCATATAGGTCCCTTCTTCAGGAAACAAAGGCACTTTGTTTGCATTAAGAAGGGACCTATACGGTTCAGAAACGTCGCTATACAGTGTGACATATCTTTTGTCAATAAAGAACATTGACAGAAATCCTTATTGGAGTGCGAGTGACTTTCTGCTACAATGTACTGATCTGCAGAGGCATCTGCTGTCATCTCATCACAACTCATTATTATTAAAGAGTCTGCCCATCAATTTCAAAGTTGGCACAGGAGGCCGGAATATCTGGTGCCATAAACTTGACCTTCACTGGAAAAAGGTTTAAATTTGCACATACATTCGGCCGACTATCAGGATCTTCTGATAATTTCTTCATGCCATTTTCAAACCAAGATGGTCGGCCAGATGGTTCTACTCTGCCTTTCCTAGATGTGCGAGCAACTACCTATATTACATCTCATGCCCGCTGTTTCCTTCCAGGTGATGCCAAGCTGCGTTTCGGGAATACTCACACCCTGGTGACCTTGGGAAGCCTCTTGGATGATCAGCACTGGCATTCTGTTTTGATTGACCGATTCAACAAACAGGTCAACTTCACGGTGGACAAATACACCCAACACTTCCGCACCAAGGGCGAGTCCGATGACTTAGACATCGATTATGAGGTGCGTTTTGCCGTGTTATCTCAGAATATTGCTATTGGACCTGAGCTACAACATATGATCTGGGGTAAAATGGAAATTTTCTAGGAAATATAATGAGCGCAGAGAACCTTTGATCATTTGAAGGTTGTGTCCTTTTGGTGAGCGCCTTTCCATATGGAAACTTGAATATTAGAAATTGCAACACATATAACAATCTGTCTCTTGATTAATAAAGTCTGTGTCTAAAAGTGAAACCAACTCCGATTTATGTTGACACAACAATTTTCAACTCCCTTCCAGTATGATATTCCAACCAATGTGTATGCTGCACTCAATGCGACTCGTGGTTTCTCCACCCATATGGAAACGCGCTCACCAAAAGGGAACAACCTTTAAATGATAAAAGGTCCTCTGCTCTCATTTCTCCAAATATCTTGAAACTGCCTTGTGTTCATAGACATCGCTTCCAGTATCATACAGGATGTGACCTGTTGTGCTATGCAGTAAAGCCCAATATGACGCCTTGTCTATGGATAACGCCCCCAGTATTACACAGCACATGACCCATATAATGTCTTTATGATTTTTATTGGTAACACTGTGAACTTTGCACCAGCTGTGTCTCTGCACTTCGCTGTTTTAAAGGAGAACTATGAGGTGAGTGCTTTTCACTCACCTCATAGTTCTAGCCGACCTGTGACAATGAGACTGTCACAGGTCGGCTCAGTAGATCGGGAGGTGAGCGAACACATACCGGCGTTCACTCACCTCTCGATCCTGTCACGGCTCTCTGCCGTGACAGGGGAGGGGCTGGATTCCCCCCTCCCCCCTCCGATCCGCCCCCGCTGACTGGCGGAACGGACGGGGGAGGGGGCGGGTACAGCTGGCTCTGCCTCTACATAGGCAGAGCCAGCTGTCAGTCACGCAGCTGTGCGGATCCCGGCACAATTGTCGGGATCCGCTTCAGCTGCGGCGTCTCAGTATATAGTGAGCTGTAGCTCGCGGTATACTGAGCCTAGGGTGACGGGAGGACGCTAGTTTGTGTCCTCCCGTTACCCTAAGGAGAACTATGCGGAAAATACTTAACCCCATAGTTCTGCTTTAATTGTTAATGTTGACATTCTCTTTTGGCAGCGCTGGTTACACATTGGGGGGTCATTTATCAAAACTGGAGCAGACAGAATGTGGAGCAGTTGTGCATGACAACCAATCAGCTTCTCTATTCAGTTGGTTCAAGTTAAGAGTTGAAAATGAAAGAGAGAAGCTGATTGGTTGCTGTGCACAACTGCTCCCGATTTTTTTCTGCTCCAGTTTTGATGAATTCCCCTTATGTCATTTAATATTTATTTTAAATGTTTGTTCACAACTTCTGTAGAGCGGTCATAAGATTTAATATTTTGATGGTGCAGATAATGTTTTCATACATTGTATTGGAAAACTTCCTTTTGTTACTGCACTACTGTACAGCAGACATGGTTGATATGCCCTGTGCAGGTAGCATGCTGGAGATCTAGGGGTTGATTTACTAAAGGCAAATAGCGCAGTGGCCTATTGGGTAGTACTTCTGCTTTGCAGCACTGGGTTTCCGGGTTTGAATCTACATTCCAGTAAGTTAAATGGCTCCTGTCTAGACTGGCCCTAATATGTTTGTGCAATAGGGATCTTAGATTGTAAGCTCCGCGGGGGGCAGGGGAAAATGTAAACGTGCTGCATAGACTATTAGTGCTATATATAAATACCTGTAATAAAAAAAAGTCAGTTCACTTTTCAAGGAAGTTGGTACTTTGCAGGGGAGGTTGCAAAGAACACCCAATGAGAAACCTGGTAAACAAAAAATATATATATATATATATATACTGTTGGGCCGCCTCGTGACTCCACGAGATGGTGAAAGTTGATGCGAGGAATCTGACACGGCACACGGCACTGTTGCCCTTCTGTTGTCTTGTACCAGTCTTGCCCCTCCCCCGTTCTGCCCTAACATTGACTAGTCGCTGACGGCCACAATCCGCACGTTCAGACCCAGATTTTCGGCTGACAGTCCGGTCTTTAAACACTTTAACAATGAGCCCCTCTGGAACATTTAACCAATTCTGCTGTTTTGCTGATACTCGCTCCATGGCTCCGAGCGCCAACAATCATCCCACGTTCAATGGATGTTAAATCGCGTTGTTTCCCCGTATCTTCAGAAACAAATCACTTCTACTGTCGTGGTAAACAACCTGCTTCCCTATTTATAATGGTCTAGCCCTCCAGCAACTTCAGCGCCAAATTATAGCTAATTTGCCTACAAACGTCAGGTGGTCATAATAAACTGGCCACTCAGTGTATATGCTACAGTCAAATATTGTCCTCATACAAGAGTCGTGTATTCTTCCTTGGTGAGATTTGTGTATTTCTTCCAGATCTGTGCAGTAATCCAGTGTGAGACTTGGAGCTTCCTGTAATAAAGACCGCTCACTGATGCTCTCTCTCCTTGTGCAGGATGACTGGTCTTGTCTTCGACCTCCTGTAATAAAGACCGCCCAGTGCTGCTCTCTCTCCTTGTGCAGGGTGACTGGTCTTGTCTCTGCTCCCTCCTGCAATAAAGACCGCTCACTGCTGCTCTCTCTCTTTTTGTGCAGAGTGACTGGTATTGTCTCCGCCCCCTCCTGTAATAAAGACTGGTCACTGCTGCTCACTCTTCTTGTGCAGGGTGACTGGTCTTGTCTCCGCCTCCTCATGTAATAAAGACCGCTCACTGCTGCTCTCTCTTTTTGTGCAGGGTGAGTTGTCTTGTCTCCGCCCCCTTCCTGTAATAAAGTCCGCTCACTGCTGCTCTCTCTTTTTGTGCAGGGTGAGTTGTCTTGTCTCCGCCCCCTTCCTGTAATAAAGTCCGCTCACTGCTGCTCTCTCTCCTGGTGCAAGGGGACTGGTCCTGTCACCTCCCCCTCAAGTAGTGGTTGGTGCCTGCTGGGCCCCTCCCACAGCTCTTCTTTTTGCGCAGGCTATATACAGCACAGTGATGATGTCACTGCTATTTTTTACAATGTAATATTTGGGTTTTCAAATGCATTTGGTGCACACAAAGTGGATCTATATACTTTTGTGAAACTATTTTGTGATACTATTGAGAAACCTATTTACATGAAAGTTTTTTTTAGCCTGGTGGTTATGTCTCCAAAACCAAAAATCAAAGTCAAGTGATGGGTTTAATTTCAGCTCTTGATGTATCTTCGACATGGACATGAACTCTGGCCTGTACAAGTCTCACAGCATGATTTTATACCCTGGGTAATATTGGGAAGCAGTGCAGTCCGGCGTCATTAGTATTTTGTTTGCAGCGATAAATTTCTAATTAAGTCCCACGCCATCCCCGGCCCGCTAAACATTACGGCTGCAGTTTAATTTGTGTCTCGGGGGCCTTTTGACGGACGATAAAATAGAAGAAAAATATCTGCTGTTATTGCTATTTATTAGGCAATTAGAATTATGACATAACGACCAAAATTGTGCAGCAAATTCGGAGCTCAGAAATTAGTTTAATTAGTACATGTGGCCGGTTTGGAAATATGGGGCCGGCGTTGGACTTGACAAAGGCTTATCTATCATGGCACTCTAAATACGAACATTTGGGAATTGATATATACGAATATTACCAGCTAAGTGCTCTACAGCATCAAGTCATCTAATTGTACAAAATGGACACTCATTTTCAAAAGTGAACTCCAGGCAGACGGAAATACCGGGTTTCCCCGAAAATAAGACACTGTCCTATATTTTTTTGGGCTCAAAAAACCCACTAGGTCTTATATTTGGGATATTTTTTTTTTTTAATGTACAACAATCCACACTTATTCATGTAGAAAAGTCTACATGTATTCATGTACACAAATATGGCTATCAGGGCAATCGGGGGTGCCGTACCTTTCCAAGAGCAATTTGCTAACCAATCGCTGGCCAGAATGAGCGAAGCGCACTTTTACTATCGATTCCTCACAGGCGGAGTGCATTTGGTATCACTCCGCCTGTGACCGGAGCCGGCGCTATAGAGGAGGCATGCGGCTCTGCTCCCTCCGCTGCCACCTTGCTTCCTCTAGCTCTGGCTTCGTTGGCAGCGCTGATTCTCTCCCGCGGCTCTTCAAGTCCCCCCTTATGCCACCACCAGCCCTGGGAGTGGTCACAACTAGGTCTTATTTTCGGGGTAGGTCATATATTTTAGCAATTCCCAAAAATAGTACTAGGTCTTATTTTCGGGGAAACAGGGTATACAGATAGAATGCATACACTATATTGCCAAAAGTATTGGGACGCCTTTACATGCACATGAACTTTAATGGCATCCCAGTCTTAGTCCGTAGGGTTCAGTAGTGGGTTGGCTCCGCCCTTTGCCGCTATAACAGCTTCAACTCTTCTGGGAAGGCGTCCACAAGGTTTAGGAGTGTGTCTATGGGAATGTTGGACCATTTGTGAGGTCAGGTACTGATGTTGGACGAGAAGGCCGGGCTCACAGTCTCCACTCTAATTCATCCCAAAGGTGTCACCCCTCCAATGGTCGCATCCACCCGGGTGACACCATTGGAGGGGTGACACCAAAATGACTGACAGTCATTTTGGTGTCACCCCCTCTAAAAAGTCGGGCACTCGGTCACGGACCAAGAGCCCGACAGTGTCAGGAGAGAGGAGGGGACCCGACGGCATACCTCATCCCGCCGGGTGAGCGTCCCCTCCTCTCTCTGCCGACGTCCACCACCAAGATGGCCACCGGCAGGCGTCAATAAGACGACCGCGCATGCGCGATGACGTCACAGCGGGGTGTCATCCGGTCTCTGCTCCGGGTGTCACTCAGCCTCGGCACGCCCCTGCCTATAACGCATTTAGCCGTTTTAAACACAAAGGTTAATTGAGCTATGGCATTTGGCGCTCTCTCATTTGACCTACCTGCATGCAGATTTCACCCCCATGTTATATAAAGGTGGCGAGTAGGAGGAGTTCAGTAGTCCTGCCCTAGGGTGACAACCCTGCTCCTAGGGTGATTTTCACTCACCTCGTAGTTCTCCTTTAAGCATCCTTCCAAAACAAAATATTTTCTCGCCCTTTTTTTTTTTTCTAGCAATAAAAAGAAAAACTTGATTGACTTTAACTAATAAATCTGCCTAACATTTGGCGGAGGAGCGGCGTCACACTGTAATGCCGGCTAGCATTTCACAATTCTCCGCGCAATAAAGAACATAAGATGTTGGAAAGTTTATAGCGCATTAAACTAATAACACAGCCACCAACCATCCAGCCAGCCAACCCATCCCGGCTGTATTTGTGGTTTCGACTTTTATCAGCGGCGTAAAAAAGGGCATAAAATCAGTGAGTTTTATTTTGCATCGACCTTTGCGCATTTCGGTGGCGCGTGAATGAATGCCGATTTATTTATTTTTGTTATATTTTCAACCTGCGGGCAATTATAGCCAGAGGAAGAGGAATTGGTAATTGTGTGATGGAAATGCATTAGCGGTGCTATGTGAATATCCACTCAAATGTAAAAAAAACCACAAAAAATAAGCAATAACAAAGTAATTCTCTATAGATTCACCAATAAATTGTTACATTTAAAGCTGATTTCTGGGTGCAAAAACCTTCATTTAAAGATATCCTTTAAAAAGGTTGATGAGGCTAGTGGATATTTAAGGGGTTATTCACAGCCGAGTGAATAACCGAGCCCCAGTTTGGCTATTCACTACTTAGCTGTACATTAGCTGAAAGCAGCCGTACATCGGCTGCCTTTGGCTGAGACAAAGTGCAAAAGGTCTTCGACTCAGCTAATCCAACATCTGGATCGGCTGAGCCAAGGCTCCAGCAGCTCGCTCTCTGCCGTTCGCCCCTATTCACATAAGGGCCTGACGGCATTCGGCTCGGCTATTCTGCAATAGCAATTCAAAACAAAAAGAGTTTTTAAAAAAAGTTGATTTTTTTTTCAAATGTAAATAAACGTTCAAAAAAATTGGGTGGAGCTAGCAGTGACAGCTAGCTCCGCATAAACTGTTTCTTATTGGTCGGGACCTGCTAGAGTCTTCTAGCAGGTCCCGGCAGATTAATAACAACTGGGCGGAGCCGGACGTGATGTCACGGCCGTCTCCATCCAGTTTTTATTGTTTAATGAGAGTTCAGGGTCCCCAGGTCATTTGGGGTCTCTGATCTCTCATTACAACTGGGTGGAGCCAGCAGTGAGATCAAATCTGGCTCCGTCCAGCTGTCATATGCCTTCGGCTTGGCTGAGCCGCTTGGCCGCCTTTGGGTGCTGTACGGGTTTTAGTGAATAGCATGTACAGCAGCCCTTCGGTTCGACTGAACCGAAGGGTTCCGGTGGCCGAAGACAGCCCAAGGATCAGCCGAAGCTACGGATGGATCCTTCGGCTCCTTTGTAAATAGACTCCTTAGTGATAGCCATGGCTGTAGTCAGCCTGGTTGGAATTATAGTGGCATTCATCTGGTTAATTCCAGGTGTCTGGCATTGCCTGTATCAGTAGATGGATGTCACTAGCACACCAAAAATATTGCAATCCAAAGTGCTTGTTTTTTTCAAAACGTCATCAGAACCAGCACTTTTGGGGCCGCGCAGGGTCCCCTTTATCAGGCTCAGCAATGACTCAGGCTCTCATGCATTTTCCTAATGCAGCAGAGGTTCTAACCCTCCCCCACTTTATTCTGACAACAAAAAAAAGAGCTTTGGCCAGAATTTTACCTTAAATTGAATTCAGAAGAATGATTTATTTTCACATCCAGCCTATCTAATTCATTTTAAACAAATGGTTTTGGCTCCGTCACACGGTTATTTTTCTGTAGAGGTAAATCTTCCCCATAATCTGATTTACGATCTAGTCTCCCTTATTTTTTTTTTGTGCCGTTAAGTAAAAGGAATGAGCCAAGTTTTGATGTTTTTCTTTTCCAAAGTTCAGCTTTGGAGGAATTCCAGTCCCTGGGAAGCCCGGCACGTTTCTGAAGAGGAATTTCCACGGCTGCATGGAGAACCTGTACTACAACGGAGTGAATGTTATTGATCTGGCCAAGAGACGCAAACCTCAGATCTACATTGTGGTAAGAGATGTTTTGCTGTTTTGCTGTTATTATAATTACTCTCCACTTCCTGAAAGTCTTTTATCTACTTAGGTCATCGCAGCATTGACCTGAAAGTAATTCTTGATGTGATTCCATTGGACAATTTCTCCTGCTATGCTTAAAGCAGAACTAAAGTATCTTTATTTTTTTTGAATGCTAACACATTAAAAACGAAAGCTAGTAGCTTTCCCAATAGTTTGAGCCGGGATGTGACACTGCAGCTGTCACATGCGCAGGGCCGGATTTCCCACAAGGCCTGGCCTCGGGGCAGCAGGGAGTAGAGGGGCAGCAGAGGTGTGGAATTCCTATCTCCTGATGCTTGGGAGATGCAGTTCCAGGCGCCGGGTGGGTAGTTGTTTTCTAGATGTAGCCCTGCTTTGGCCAAGCAGAGCTAAATGTACAGCTGTTTTGTACAAGTGATCTCGGCAATGTCGCTGAGATCACTTGTATGCAGCCTGCAGGTCTGCCATTCTCCATGGGTGGGCTGGTGGGTGGGGGGGCGCATTGAGGAACCTGGCCTTGGGGCAGCAGAGAGAGTAAATCCGGCCCTGCACATGCCGGCTCTATAGCTTAAGAACTAAGCGATCACAAACCGCTGATAGCTCATCTCACTGCTTCCCCCTGCAGAGAGTGGTGATTGTCAGTCACTACTCCCTGGAGAGAGTCCTCCCTTCCCTCTCTCTGTTCCTGGCTTATTGGAGGGACAGGCAGGGGAGGGGGCGGGCACAGCTGGTTCTGGCTCTAGAGAGGCAGAGCCAGCTGTCAATCAGGCAGTGGGTGGATCCCAACAGTATTGCTGGGATCTTTCCCCGCTACAGCCCGGCTCTGCACTGTCAGCATATAGATGGCAGTAGCCCCCCACATGTCTGTTGCTCCATTGGAGCCCTGGTCTTTACCAAGGTATTTGGCCTCCTCCCAGACCAATCTCCAGGCAGGAACGCTGCCACAGGAGGAGGAGCAAGATGTCATCAACCCCCTTTCAGATCTGACACCATCCAACATATGCAGGATTTGATCCTCGGCTCCAGCGGATGAATGGAGTAGTGGGGGGAACATGCCAAAAGTAATGATGAGTGGGTGGTGGTAGAGGAGGTGGGGTATTTTCAAGAGGCTCTATCACTTTTCCCTGAGTGGGGACCTTTGTAGAGTGACTCTGTCATCACCCCAAACATTTGGAAAAAGCAAATCCCTGCACAGAAGACACAGTATAGTCACCTCTATGATGGTCTGTGTCTTCTACCTTCCCTCCATTCCAGCGCTAAAGCCTCCATAAGACTCTTCTGGGAGTGCTGGATGCCTCTGTCCTCACCACATGCCATGGTTCCATCTTCATTCCCTATACCACTGCTGTGTGCTGTAATGATGTAGGAGTCAGATGATGGAACCATGACATTGAAGGGGACACAGGCATTTCTGTAAGTATCGAATGCTAAAGATCCTGAGGGAAGCTGCAGAGCAGGGATGGAGCAAAAATAGGAGACAGGGATACTGAAGAGGCAAGTGTGCTGTGTTTTCTATTTCCAAGGAGCTGCTTTTGATAAGTGATTGCAATCAATTGTGATTGCAATAAAGGCTGTAAATGCATTCTGGATGTTTACATTGGAGGGCTGGCAGGCGGCCAGGATTCTGCAGCAGTAGAAAATAAAGGGGCAATAAAGGGTGACTTCTGTTGAGAGCTTTAAAGATGCATTTCTCCATAATGCCTACAGCTGTAGATGTTGCTGACGTCTTGTTTTAAAGTCTATTTACTACTTGTTCAGAATATGTAAATACTATAGTGTGCATGATCTGGGCACAGGCTCACTTTAAAGAACCTAAAGCCCGCACGAACAGCTCCGTGCTGCGTGCACGGCCGTACCAAGCAGCTCCTGGGAAGGACAGGTGTTGCGTGTGATTAGTACGCAGCCCCTGTCCTTCTCTATGGGACTACGCGGCCATACGACCCCCTAAGCTCACCTCAAGTGCAGGTCCGTAGGGGTGCGTGTTTCCTGGATTGGACGCAGACTGGATCCATCCTGTCAGCGTACAAGTACGCTCACCCGCACGGACGTGCAGGGCGGGTGAGCGTTGGGGTGTGTACGGCCACATGTTCCCATAGAGAAGGTTGTGGCTGCGTACTAATCACGCGCATCGCCTGTCCTTCCCGGGAGCTGCTCAGTACGGCTGTGCACGCAGCACGAAGCTGTACGCGCGGGCCGATTTTAGTGTGAATGAGGGCAAAGGGCTCAAATATACTCACCTGATCATTAGTCCTGCTTGAGAGGTCCCCTCAGCCCCTTCTCCCCTGGGCTTTGGCAGTATAAGAACCCATGACATCATCGTGTCTAATACAGTCGAGGGACATTCTACCACCAAAGCAGAGTGGGAGAGCGGCGAGTACTGACTACCGCAGGACCAAGGATCAGGTGAGTATATTTTATTTATTTTAGCTCCAAGACCATTTTAGCTCCTAGACAAACACCCATTGAACCCTTGCAGTGCAGGGGTAGCCCCACCGCAAGGGTTAACTTTTACAATTACTGGAGTGTAAATAGAAGTCTTGCGTGGGTTGCTGGACTTTGCACAGTAGGTCATTACACCGCCTTACAGAATGATCTTGTTTATCTCGCCTTTTAATTATACCGAAATGTTTCGCCTCTTACGTTATGCTCTCATTTGTGTTAAATCTTAATTAAAAATGAATGTCCTTGTGCTCATAATGGCGTTATGCATTATCAGTTGCTGAAACACTATAAACCTTGAGAGTGTAGACTGCAGGCTCGGGGCCGCTACGAGTGATTCAATGACTGCAATCAATCAGCATCTTGTGGTGTCATTACATATAACAACATTGAATGTATGCATTATTATCCTCATCCAGAATAATCCTAAAGTGTAATTCGTGACAAGGAAACATTCTGTGCAAAATGATAACCTCAAATATCAGTGATAGCGCACATGCAACAGCTCATAGCCTCCGCACGGCTAAGTACGGCTGCTGAAAATAACTAAAGATGACAAAAATATCATTTGACGGCACGCCACACCCTCACTGGATAGAGGACAGCTCCAGAATTGGCTATTCTTGACTTCTCAAGGGACCCGACCAAGTCCCCCATTAACAAGTGACACCAATAGAGCAGCACCATTCCAACAGATGGGTCCCTACTTTGTAACCATCTCACCTTTTCCACAGAACCCCTAAGGCCCCCTAACCATGACAAACCATGTAGATCCCAATCCATTGGCAACACTAAACAAAATGAGGGTGGTAGGGACAACCGTCCTTTCTTCTTGACCTTCCAGAAACAATTCCCAGCAGCTCCTACCCCTGCAGCAGTTCTCTGACCCTTAACCTCCAGGCCAAACCTCCTGCTGTGTTCAGCTCTAATCTTCAACTCATTTCTGATGAGTATTCTTCACCCCAGTCATGTAGCTCCTACGCTTATTTTCTCCAGGTTCGTCTCGGAGGTTTTTTTAACCCTGAAAAAGTAGAGACTTTCCACATTGCAAAGTGAATGTTCACCGAGTTTAGTAAACAAGGTGAATCTCTGTTTAATTTTTTCTACCAAACAATTTTTTTTTTAGGTATTCTTAGCCTTTATTACAAACATTAAAGTCTTTTCATTGCAACCATGTACCCCTTTTTTTTAGGTGGTTTCAGTTCAGTCAAGTGATGCATGGGGTCCTCTTTCCTCCCTTTCTTCAGTGGTAAGGTGGTGGTGGTGGTGGTGGTGTTCCTGAATGCTGCAAAAACCAGCAGCCTTTGGTGACAGGACAACATTCCCTGCAGCCTTTTATACACTGCCTGGCCAAACAAAAAACAAGTCACCCCCTGGATTTAGCTAAGCAAATAGGTCAGATCCTTCCATTGGATAAGAGGTCTAGGTTTAGCAACGTTATGTCCCCCAAAAAATGAGTTCAGCTGCCTACCTGAGCATACTGAATGACCAGGTTTGTCCATCAATGGATGTTTTTCTTCCCTGATGGCACATTGGGTATATTCCAAGATGACAATGCCAGGAGTCATCGGGCTCAGACTGTGTAAGAGTGGTTCAGGGAGCATGAGACATCATTGTCACACATGGATTGGCCACCACAGAGTCAAGATCTCAACCCCATTGAGAATCTTTGGGATGTGCTAGAGAAGACTTTACTAGACTTGTGCGCCGTCCAAAAATATGTTTCGTTTCGTTCCGTTTCGTAATATCCATTATTTAGTATTTCGTAATTCGTATCCGAAACTCAATTCGGATTCGTACGAAATACGTATTTTTGTTAGTTTCGGCACATTTTTGTAACTTTACGAACATTCGTTATGATGAAGTTAAAAAGCTAAAATACCTTTGTTAATATTGGAGTCGATGTGGTAGTTGTTTTTTTATCCGAAATACGAATTCCGTTAACGGATTCCGTATCCGAATTTCGTATTTCGTATAAAAAAAAAAAACTACCATCAACTCCAATATAAATGTACTTTGCTTTCTAACTTCAATATAACGAATGTTCGTAACGGAACGAAAATACGTCAACGGAATTTCGTATTTCCTGCCTGTGTATTGTAATGCAACTCTCAGCAGCAGCGGATCCGTATTTCGGATTTAAAAAAAATCTTGTCATGTTGTTCAACCTCATTTACAGGGGTAATATTAGTTCCTGTTTCAAAGAAAATTCAAAGAAATTCGAATCCGAAATTCGTTAACGGAATTTCGTATTTCGGATATAATTCGGAAATAAATGTGGCATTCCATAAGCTTATCCAAATGATGCCACGGTGAATGTCTGCCGTAATCAAAGCTAAAGGCGGTCCAATGAGATATTTAAATGTGCGACTTTGTTTGTTTCTTTGGCCAGGGAGTGTATACAGTATATATATTTACAATAGTCACAATAGAACACAGTGTAGGATCGTATCTTCAAATTATCCAGATGTGTCAATGTACAGTCTTCCCACCTAATGGAGATGGTGAGGTCTTTGCTGCTTCTGATTTTTTCAT